GTCTGTCCTGTCTGTCCTGTCTGTCCTGTCTGTCCTGTCTGTCCTGTCTGTCCTGTCCTGTCCTGTCCTGTCTTGTCTTGTCTTGTCTTGTCGTGTCCTATCTTGTCCTGTCCTGTCCTGTCCTCTCGTGTCTTGTCCTGTCCTGTCCTGTCCTGTCCTGTCTTTCTGTCTGTATGTATGTATGTCTGTGTGTGTGTATGTGTGTATGTATACTGTAAATGTGTTTATTCACAGATTTTACACAAAAGTAGAGGTTACATTACATGCCACTGTGAGCCAACACACTGCTATGTGGTGCTCAAAAATTAGGCAGAAGCGTATAGTCTTTGCATTCAGGCTTCGATCAACATCAATATTGTGTGCATGTGGCTGCATGTGGTCAAAACATGTAAAAACTACTGTCATGAGCTCTGGAAATGGCCTTCTTTTCTATGGCAAGGTGGTCTCTGCTTTTCGTCTTGCTGCGAGCAAAGTCATCCTCCACTGATCGAATTGATGGATCTCATTGCGACAGCATTGTCAAACTTATGCTTATATAAGTACTATAGCTGAAGGGCAAACCGGTTGAGAAACTCAAAAAAGCATGGAGCTCTTCCACAGGACTGAAGTTGCCTAGCTGATCCATACAGGAGATCAACTCACAACGGCACCTTGCGACTTGGAGGGGCACCACCTGCCAGAAAAACAAACAGAACAGGAGCTTCTGAATCATTGTTCTCTATCAAGCAGCAAAGCTTCGTTAAAATGCTTGATTTCTATTCCATTCACCAGTGCCATGGAAAAAGTTGTTCAGACTGCACACGGATTGACAAATCTACCCAATCGAGCCTGACTTAATTCGCTTGATTGCAACCTGCTCTGCACATGACTTCAATCGCAAGTACTGGAGTTCAAGCGCGAAGAAGAGTGAGTCAACAGTTAACACTGTCAACACGTTTGCCTCAGCTTGAGCGGCCATCCTCAGCGGATGCATGTAACTTTGCATGGCAAGGGTTGTTTCACGGGCAGCAAAATGCTCTGCGACTCTAAGACCCATTCTTGTCCATCCTGGCTGAAAAGCGCTGCAGCCCATCCTGGTGCTTGAGGTGTATGCCCATCGATAGAATCTCCACTACATATTGTGTCCTGTTGCAAAAAATAGCTGAAAAAGGGGGTGCTTCTGAGCATATGAGGGCATGTCGCATTTCCTGAATCTCATTCTCTCCCAACATGCCACTTAAAAAGGTCTACCCTACTCTAAATGAAACTGCCACATTCTTTGCTTGTGTTTGCAGCTTGCTGTCACTTTGCATGTCGCCTCAGTCTTCTGCAAACGCTCCCGCAGCTTGTTGCGAAGATTCACCACTCGATCCTTCAGCTTCTCAGGGCTGTCCTCGCACGGAATACGCAAGCCATCCCACATTCTATTCCAAGACCCGACATCTATTCAATTCATACAGATTCCTAAATTCTATCTTCACTCACGGCACGATGCACCGCATCTTTTTGGCGAAGTTTCGTGGCTGTCACGCTGTCCGGGAAGCTGAATCAGGCCACGGCCCTCTTAGCTGAATACTGCAGAATGTCTCTTGTTCGCAGGCTCAGATCCTCAGATCCTCACTTCCTCAACCTGACCGTTGCATCGAACATCTGACTTTTTCCCAATCAATTGATTGAAGAGCAGTTCGAACTATGTGACTTTGCCTGTGTACTGGCTTGCCCAGTAGGCAAGAACTCTTTCCTCGCTTGAATCTGCATGTTGCAAGTACAAAGTCTTGTTGTGCAGTCAATTTGCAGTGCCTTTCAGCACCTCAACCATAGGACGAAAAGATCGTAGATCTGGGCTCGTCGAAGGTAAAGTCGCTGATGTATTGTGATGCCTACACACCGAAAACACATCTGATTGGTCGTAGCCTCATAGGTTTATGGCCTTCACTGCATCAAATCCCTGGCGGTGGCATGCCAGGAAGAAATGCTGCAATTGCGCCATGGAGACCTGCAGATGGACACATAGCAGACTGAGTGTAAAGCAAACGAATCAAACGAAGCAAGTAAGATCAAGTAAGCCATGAGATAAAATTGGTGCAACACAGAGCAATGTGAAAAAAATATGTAAAAATACGCTTCTGAATTCTAGTTTTCACTGTCAGGTTGCTTTGCGCTCTGCAATGCGTCCACCTGCGATCAGGGCAAACACAAACGGCTTTCCTAATGAGTCCGTGATTTTACCAACACCAATTTATCACAGGAAGAAAGCATGTACGTGTGTTGCATTTCTTGCTCTGCTCGACTTCCTGCATTGCTGGGAATGTCCATTTGAGCTGCAGAACAAAAGCCAAAGGCATGCAATTGACGGCGCGCCTACTGAAGTTCCAAAGACGACAGCAGCATCATCTGCCCCAGGATAGAATGTCAGGAAGTACTTGGAAGCCACATCCTTGTTCCTTAGCACATTCAAAACCAAACAAAGAGCCACACATCACTCACAGCAGTACAGAGCAGTACACCACATCTACAGTAATTCTTTTTTGAGATGAAGCTCGGCTTTTTGAACTCCGCCTTCAAGTCTATTCTTCCTGGTCGCATAACTGCAGGGTCCTTAGGCCACAATGTCATGCGAGATACAAAGCTAGCTCTTCACATCGTGCGCTTTGAGATCTGGACTAGCTTGTCTGGATGATTGGTTGTCATAAAAATGACCACGTCATCTGGAGCTCCCAGACCATCCAGGCAGTTCAGAAATCCACTGAATGACCTCCGCACTTTCCGATGTTGAACCAAGTGCAATCAACAGTCAAAAGCCTACTAATGCTCGAGCAATTGCAATCAAAGCCCTAAATGCAAATTGGCGAGGTCTGAAGGCACGCTATAGTGACTCGATGTGACTAGTGAATCTTCGTCAAGGCACAAAGATGAATTGTTTTGGTCTGCTTCACGGTGGTTCGTGAAAAGTGCGTCAACATCTTCCAGAACAACCATGGAAAGTGCTGGAAGCTGCGTCATTGCATTTCCTCAGTATGTTTTGCACGCTATTTTCTTTTAGGTAGAAGAGGTAGCAAGAGGTAGCTAGTACCTGACTAGTACGCTGCTACCTACTGGGGACGCAGGATAGCTCGCGCTAATCATTTGGTTCCTAGATTTTTGGGGAAACTTAAGTAGTCTCGGCAGTACTCAATGGAAATACGGTGCGTAAACCTGCAGGCCGAGATTCTGAAGGTGTCATCAGTCATGTGCTTGTCCATTTGTATAAAGCATAGATTTCGCTGGATGTGTCCAGCAACTGAATTCATGAAGGAGGTCTTGCCAGTTCCGGGCTCTCCATGTAGCAAGTAGCAACGGTGGTAGGGAATTCCATGTTTGGCATAAAACGTCCGGGTCTCATCTTTCAAAAACCACTCAAGGTCATCCAGAAGTGGTCGCTTCACACCTGAGGTCCGAGGTCCACTCTTTCAGAAAGACAATCCAGGAAAAATAGATGTTGCGTAAGGTTGCCAGATAGATATACAAGTAAGTCAGGAAAGAAGACAATCTCAAGTGGATAAACAAACACAACTCTATGACTCTGTGAAGGTGTCTGGCCACATCAGCAAGCACCCTTTCAGCATGCTTGAGTTGCACACCATATGGATTTAACTTGATTTGTGCTGATTTCGTTGTTTCTACATCCAGTATGCTTGATTCCAGCGTTCTGTGTCAACATTGTTTGGCTTGTCGATCCAAGTCACTCTCCTCTAGAACGATGCTATCCAGACTGCGAGCCATTCGTCTTGAGATTCGTGACCAAAAGTGATACTTTGTGTCAAATCTCCACAACGACACCCGATTCCTTGGATCTACTGGACCGAAGTGAATTGACAAAGCTCGGACACGATGATTCCAAAACTCTGAAAACGTGCAGGTTAGTATCGCTTTCTGCTTGGTTTCATTGTCTGCAGCCTGGCAAACGTCAGATTGCAAACCCTTTTCGGGTAGAAAGAACTGAAGAGATCTTTTGTCTTCCCTCTTCACCAAGCCTTCTGGCAGATCTTGAGCAAGGGCATTTGGTCCTGCCCTTGAGCAAAAAGGACCATTGATGTGAAAAAGGATGGGCCGTCACCTGCAAACAAATACGTCCAAAATGGAATGCAAATGACCTGAGCGTCGGAACTGACACAAAATGTCTTTCAAGCAGCCTTGAGACAAGTTGCAGCTGCTACCAGAATTCTGTCCATCAAACTCAAACATCAGTCAAGGCTTAAGAGGAGTCTTTGCAGGATCCGAGACATGAAGACAGTCTTCAACACGACGACATGCTATCCAGACACCAAGAAAAGGCAAAACAATCAGAATAATTCTATTAGATGCAGTCTAAAAGAATGCCTGTGGGATGCCCAATGCGCTGCAGAACTGCCGTAATGTGCGCGGTCTTCTCTTCCCAAGTGAAATCGAAGGAATGCCAGCCTCACAAAGCGTGCATTCAGCTCCACAGCAGTCAAGCTTGTGTTGGAAACATAGTGCCAAATCAAGGATGAGCAAAGATCCAGAAACATAGCAACAAGAGGGCAGAAGCCCCCTTGATAACCTTGTTGCAACCTCATGCTGGACAAATGAGTATGGCCAATCATGCAGCCTAAGCCGATGTTGGCAGACGGCATCTGCACTTCGCGCTTGCGCTTGCGGCTGGCCCCACCAACCTGCCAAAATACTCTTGCAAGGGTTGACTCCACATTGTGACAATCCAAATGTCAAAGGTCCACCCAGCCTTGCCCTTGCCCTTGACCATCACAAGCAAGTCATCAATGTCATCATCATCTGCCTTGGTTCAAATTGCATGTGGTTTTCTTGGATTTCTCATGAAAAGGAAAGACCTCCCAGAAAGGCACAAACCCTACCCACTATTAATTTGAGCCGCAGCTGCACCAAGGCCTCTTCCTTTGCCCATGTCAGCTCGAATACTCCTGGCTTTTTGCACCTCTTTTGAAGAAGAGCGAAGCAAAGCCAAACGCAGGAGAAAAATGCTAGCAGCACTGAGGTGGCGGCTGACTTGCTGACAAAGCGGAGCATGTAGCTGAAGAGCGGTTCCTAAGCAACTTCAAGGCAAATGCCATGCTCGAATGAACTTGCAAGGAGTCGCCCTGGCCCGTCCTCGTTGGATTGCACCTCCAAATAAACGGAATCATTTACATCATAGGGCAAATGTCGTCGGGCCTCAGCAAATCAGCCAAAGCATTTTTCACGAATGAACCTCTGAAACATCTGGCCTCTTCTTCAAGAAATGGACAGGAGGATCGGAGAGGTTCCATCTTGGCAGCACCATCGCTTTGAGTGGCCATGTTGTCCATGCTAGGGACTTAGCACCAAAATCCACAATGCCTAAAAGCTTGGAGTCTTGGGGCTAAAGGTTAGAGGAGCTTCCATTTCAAGGCTTGATGAGGTAAATATATAATAGATTATAATAGTAAATGCGGGAAGAATGTAGACAAGCCTGTGGTGCAACTCAGCAAATGTGTGCAGGCTCTTGCAAGGTTGAGAAGTTTCTGCTTGCATTCAAATCGAAAAGGCTCAGAGAGTATCAAGCCTCTTGTGAATTCCCGAACAGAAACAGCTGCGGATTGTTTTACTATCTGCTCAGGTCATCTGTCATTTCCATAAATGTCCAGAAGTTCTGCTCTGCTTATCCTATCACAGCAGACACCCTACGCGGCTCCTGTGCATCATCTTGAAGACCACTCACACCCATGCTGTGACCCATCCTGCAACACGGCGAGCTGGATATGATATGGAGTGCACCTCTGGGTTTGCTTGAATGTACAGAATCTACATAGAATTTTCAGGCACCTTAAATTAGAACTTTTCTGCTTCCTGTCCTTGTGATTCCTTTACCAAGGCGCTCGATGCCTTTCACAAGCATTACCAAGTCCTGCTGCAAAGCAAAACCAGCATTAGGTAAATGCACACTGCACACATTCACAAATGAAGTCGCCTTGTTCTTTGCGACTCCTTTCAGCTGGCTCATACCTCTCAAGAAGGCGTTCGTAAATTAGGATTGCCCCACATTGAGTGTGCATGCTTACTGTGTGTGTGTGACAATATCCCGTAGAGGATGTCTATGGATAAGTGTCTTCTTAGATCGCATATGATTAGTCACCGAAATTTCACTCGCTCTGTCAATCACTTGAATGCTCTTGCACTTACATCACACTGCTTGCGCTTGCGCATCCCATACCCAGATGACTCAAATGCATTGCTGAGGTCTTGGTCCTTTGCAATTACACCTCTTTCTTGCACCATTAGAAAAAGTTACGAAGGCTCAAAGGCCCTACCAAAGCGCTTCCAGAATGCTCTTTTTTGGACATGACTTGCTGCACAGTTACAACTGATGCAGAATGAAAATTACTCAAGTGCCATGCTCGGCTGTAGCACGTTGGGTTTGGTCTCTGTATCCTCCAATCTTAAACTTGTCCCAACCTGCCTTGCATGAACTCGTCAAGGTCCAATTCTCCCTTCGAGATGCGGAAGATTTTAGCTTTGTAACCAAAGACCTTGCGACGCCCCCAGCCTCTCCGCCCGTGTCCAGCAAGGCAAAGAGCTCCATCGCTTGCTCTTTCTTCAACCTCTTCAGTCCATGCTTATTAATTCTAATGAATAACTATTTGTTTCTAATAGCTTCTTGTTACTACTAGTAAGGAACTTGTTACTAGAAGCGATGCACTTGTTACTAGTAGCGAACATTGTTACTTGTCACGGAGTCGCGAGGAATCGACCTTTTTCTTGTTTTGCGGTGAGGGTAGGCCGCTAGAAGCTAGGTAGGTAGTAGCTGAGGTAGGACGCAGGATAGCTCGCGCTATTCATTTGGTTCCTAGATTTTTAGGGAAACTTATATACAGTAACTATTAGCGATCATGTTTTTCATTTGAAATGCCCATGTCATCCTATCTACCAACGCGAAGCTGAGCACCGTACCCAAGCATCAGAAACTTGTCACATATTGCTGAATCTTTAAACGCCTCCCAAAGACCACAACCATTGGCTGAAGATGCAAAAAGAACTCACAAGTGCTTGTTCTTTGCAATCGCCTCCTCAAATTCTGCCAGACTCACAATGCCACTTCCATCTTCATCAATGTCCCGGAACATCCTGGCACCGTTTCAAACATTCCCTGGTCTGACCTTGTCTTGTTGCAACGAGCCCAGCCTGCCTTTGTTTTGAATTTAAAGATTGCGCCGAAAGGTTGGGGGAGAGGGCAAGAAGAAATGTGGCGATGCTTCAAATACTCCGCGGGTTTATCAGCATGTCTGTTTTGATTTATATATATATATATTTGATTTGTACAAGCACAACACCCCAATGGTGCGACGCATTGGTTGAACGACAAGTCCTGCATTGTTAGTGTTTGATAGTGTTTGACCATGCGCTTATTGTTTGTTGCATTCGCAGTGGCAAAGGTGTTTGGATAACAAAGAGTTGCGTTCGGAAGATACACAGCTGCGTTCGACACATGACCGGCGGCATATTAGAAATGGTTTCTGCGACCGGAGAAAACATTGGGTTGACGAATGTTGTCGGGCCAGAACATGAATTCATTATATAGGAAGACAACAAGTTATGTTCAGAGACAGAGGCTCTCCTTTCAACGGTCCACAACCAGCTGTTGCAGGGCTTTCCATGGCCTCACTGTATTTTATATGGTTATGTCCGAATGCCTTTCATAGCTTCTTTCCAACATAATTGTCTTATTTCCGAAATGTTGGTGATGCTACCATGCAATGACGACATGTAAAACCGGCACAAATATGATGTAGACAGCAACATCAACAGCCTGGAACACCTGCAATTGGCAACTGCTGAGAAAACGCTGTTGCAGCTTCGATACCGCGCGCGCGCGGAGCAACTAAGGAGTTGGAGGAGGGGATGCTCTTTCCCCTGGAGGGCTTGATGATTCGCTTGGTCGAGCAGTTCCAAGGCACGTTTGGGGACTAGAACTGCTCAAAATCAGCTGTGGATGTTTGGGGAGATGATCAGATCAGCTGCTTTTTCTTCAGGTGCGAGAGATCGTTGTTCTCAGGTTTGGACGTGTTGATGAACTTGCTTGAGGAACATTCCAATTTCGAGGGTTCTGGGTCTGGAATTATCCAGGTTTCTGGGAGGGATGTCCTTTTCTCGAGGCTTGGGAAGCTTGGGAAGCTTTGGAACGCATCCCACTTTTCTGGAATTGCTGACTCTGTCCAGAAGGAGCTAGAAAAGGGAGGGCAGGATGGACTGGACATCCCATGTTCCGGAGGGCTTAAATTAGGCACATGTGCTACCCGCATCCTGGCACGTGCGTATGTGCGAAAAACATCAATGTGGCAGTTGCCACACCTTCAGGAATGGGCGGATTCAAGAATGACTCAAAGAACAGGAATTGATATAATAACTGGAGTGAGGTCCTAGGTAGGTTCTCATATGTTCAAAGACACTGTGGGTTACGGTGCTAGGTACCGGGTACACCACGTGCAAGCAAAAACGGTGCAGTATGGACCCAAAATTTTCTGCAAAGAGGTTAAAAATCTGGGAACCGTTTCGAGTCTCCTGCGCTTGCTACTAAGCTTCTTACAGCATTTCAGCTATCCTGGTCTACCCCTCCAACGATACTTGCGCAACGAGTCCAGCGCCACCCAGCAGCCCTTCTCTTTCAGGGGTACTCAAAAAAAATGTAAAACAAATGAAAAACAAAAAAGAAAAACTGGCAACAGAAAGAAAAGTCTGCTTTTTAAAAATAAATTGCTCTTCTGCTGGCTCTTAAGTTGACTCACTGAGCTGCGAGCTCTTCCAGCTCTTTCATCTCTCGTTCCTGCTCCCTTTTCCGCACGAGTGCCATCCTCAGAGATAACAAGCACAGCTCGGGGTTATTTTTCTTTTATATATGTATAGTGTAGGCATCAAGCAAAATACTTTGGGGCGGCACTCTTGCTCATCACCTTTGGACATGTCCATGGCTTGCCTCAGCCCCAGATCATTTCCTCCCCACCTCTTTAATGTGAGATTCAGATTCAACTATCCTCAGTCACTGTCTGGACAATGACGGCTGTCACCAAATTCAACAGAACAAAGGATGAGAGCGCCGTAAACAGCCATAGGAAAATCCTGGCTCGTTTGCAAAGTGCTAATAGCAAAACTTCCAAGTCACCCTGGAAGTCTTTGAGCAACACTTTGCCAGGTTGGCCATATGTAGGGGAGCTCCTCGACGAGGGCATCCTCAAGTCAAGTGCCAAAAGGCCAACACGATGGTCGGTGTGGCTAGGGGTGTGTGTGTGTGTGTGTGCGGGTGTGTGTGTGTGTCCACCCCTGGACAAAGGGTTTTCCACCGCTACTCCGTCCACGTGTTTCCACCTTTTTTAACCACCTTCTGCAAGCAGGGGCGTGTGGCCTTCTTGTCCTACCACACGCAATGAAGCTGTGGACAAGAAGGGGAAGCAGGGACTGATCATCCCTGTGTACCTGCACCTTCAACTGTTGACCAAGCTTTTCCACTCTCGATTTGATTCATGGTGGTTTCCACGATACTCTCCCACAAACAGGTTTTTCCCACAGCCGCCTTTCAGCTGCCGTCCGCCGCTCGTTCGCTGCTGTCGTGAGTCTGCAGACTTGACCAACAACTTGTTGAAACACCTACAAGTCTTTCGGACTCTTCACCATGCGGTTGTGTCACCTTCCTTCCCAGCGTGGTAACTGAGTTCACTGAATACAAGTGTCAGAGTGTGTTTTTGCTTTCATGGTGGTTTTCATGATATGTCCCCCAAACCAGGTTTCCATGCACGGCGTTAACTCGGTCTGCTAAGTAATCAGTAACTAATTTTCTGCAATCATGCATCAAACCTTTTTGTTCAAACACCTTCAACTCACTGGACTTCGCCGCCTTTCTGTTCCACCATTCCTTTTTTCGTGGATTATGATTAACTGCAAACCCTGTGACTAAGTGTGTATCGCTGTGTCTTCCCACTGGGTACACAGTGTGATCCTCTCGCAAGAGCGGCGCTGAAACCACCGTCCGTTTTGAATCAGCGTTCCTTCTTTCGTGGTTTATAACTTACTGAGTTGATGTTTCACCCGTGAATCTTCTGATCGCAAAGCGGCCGCGCTTACGGAAAACACACACATGGACATACCCCCTCCCTGCCCCCCGCTTTCTCTCTTGCGCTTTCTTTGTTTTCTAGGTTTTCTTTCAGGGCTTGTTAGGTGGTTCTTGAGGCACGTTTCCCTACCCCTCGGGTTTGAGTCAAGGGCTAAGTAATCAAGTGCTAGGCGGTCATCTTTTTCGCTACTCCTATGTTTCTCTCTTGCCCTTTTCGTTTTGCTCTTTCAGTCTTTCTTTCGTTTCTAAGGCCTTTAGGTATCTACTCAGGTTCTGAGCCACAATTTGCCGCTCGTGCGGCAGACCTGCACGTCCGTACACCTACCTTTTTCCTCCTGCCCTCTTCGGTTTCCGTCTTCTCTTTCCTTTTCTTTTTCTAAGGCTTGTTGAGTGACTATTCAGGTTTCGCGCCGCAAAGCGGCAGTGTGTGTGTGTCCCCTCTGGAGTCACGAGGTTCCTTTTTGGACTGTTTTGTTTCCCGATGTTCTTTTAGCAGGAGGCGCGTTGGTCGATTTCCTAGTCACGCGAATGAAGCTATGGAAATCGACTGGATGGACGTTTGGACGCAAACTTCCGCGCCTGCTGTTTAAAACTTGTGAACAGCTGCTCGCTGTCACTTTTGTTTTGCTTGCTTGCGCATACTGGCGCATACTACCTACCACCTACTAGCGACGGCCTCCAACCTTAGGAGTTGACCCCAACTTCCTTGCGACGGCCTCCAACCAAAAAGCGATGGCCTTTAACTTACTACTTGTCACTTTTGTCTTGCTTGCGCATACTACCTACTAGCGACGGCCTCCAACCTTAGGCTTTGGCCTCCAACTTCCTTGCGATGGCCTCCAACCTACAAGCGATGGCCTTTACCTTACTACTTGTCACTTTTGTTTTGCTTGCCCGTACTACCTACCACCTACTAGCGACGGCCTCCAACCTTGGGAGTTGACCCCCAACGTCCGTGCGATGGCTTCCAACCAAAAAGCGATGGCCTTTAACTTACTACTTGTCACTTTTGTTTTGCTTGCGCATACTACCTACCACGTACTAGCGACGGCCTCCAACCTTGGGCTTTGGCCTCCAACTTCCTTACGATGGC